CTCGAACGCCATTGTCGATTTCTTGCAGCAAAGGCGAAAGCTTAAAATTGCTGTGGTAGATAATAAAAAGAAAAACAAAGATTTTATCTTAAACAAAATTCTGAGCAAGCCCTCTCAACTGATCTAAATTGGCATGAGTAACAAATATATTACTTTAATTATGTATATATAATACATCCAATCCCACCTCACACTACCACACTATCATTTAACCCATTTTTTCCCCCAAAAAATCCTATAACCACACCCAACATTGCTCCTCCTTCACTGTCATTCGTTGCCACCACAACTCACACCATCGTCACCAAAAATGTATAAATACATACTAGACTGCTGACGATGGAGCAAGGTGGTCCATCGATGGCTTTGAAGACGTTTCTGTTGATGAGGAGAAGAGGGAGAAGTGAAGAGATGACTATTACGTACTTCACGAATAACGCCCGGTGGTGGATGGCTTGGCGGTAGAGATTTCTTTGTTAGCAATTGGAGCAGTAATGGATCTCGTCGGATTGGCTGGGGTCGAGGGCTTTCACAATGAAGACAACGTAGCCCTGAATAGCATGGCGGATGTATATCTTCTGAAAATAGTGCAATATGTGGAAATCGTGGATGTGGTGGAGGTGGATTCGAAGTAGAGGTGGTGGGTGAGATCAAGAACGATTTTGGCTAGTTAATTGTGATATGACTAATAAATGATACGTGACTCGATAATTGTGTGACTTTTTAACTTAATAAGGGATTTGCAGCCCATAAATTGCATAATATGTGTCTATGGCCATATGCAATTTTGTGACTAAGATATGATCGTAATCATAAATTGTGTTTATTATAATCGTGATCTGTTTGATTAAATATAAGTAACATTTTATCAAATGTCATAAATGATTTTTGAAAGATTTCATCAAATTTCTTAAATTTGAAAGTGTATTTTAAAAGTATGGCAATCATTAATTTTTTCCTTCTTTTATTCCTTTTTTTTTTTTCATTCTTTAATTTAGTAAAATTGAATTGCTGCTAGTATTTTTAGATTTCATTGGGTGGTTGTATTAACACTAAATTTTAATTGTATCATTATGTTTCTATTTTCTTATTATTATATTTATATTTCTAACATTTTTCATTGTATTTATATTTTCAGCATTCTATTAATTAGCACATCTTGTTTCGATAAAGTATTATTAAATAAGAAAAAAGTAATAATATAAAAGTGGTACTATCTTGAAGTACAATAATAAAATTCTTGGACAAAAATCATTAATTATCTACAGACAATGTGAGTGAAAATAATGAAATATTGATTATAGGAATGAGATAAAAAAGGAGGGACACAAGTATAACAGTATGTAAAGTTAAGAACTTTATTTAAAATATTATTCATTTATAAAAAACTGTCGTGCAAATAAAATTATTCATATTATTTTTAATGAATGAAAAAATAAAAAATATATCTTGTTTAACAACTCATTTCTTGATAATCAATCATAATTTGAATATGCTTATCTAAAAATTAGGAAAATTAAGTATGCCCTCGCTCCCCAATCTTTTTATGTGCCGTGGATGTTGATTTTCAACATTCAAAAATGAGGTTTTGAGTTTTCAACATATTCAAATCTCATATGACTGAAATTGTTAATGTGAATGTTAAAATCAAATGCATCTCAGTCAAATTAGGAAGATATTTAGGTTGTTTGATGGTTTTGCTCTTCCAATTTACGTCCAGTGCAATTTTGGTCACTTGAGAGACCTAAATTCATCAAACATTTAAGTCCGTGTTCCATTAGCCCAGGTTCAGAAAAGAAAATTAAAACCCAAATGGAAACAATTAAGGGAAGAGTTCAAAAGTCTGGTGTTTGAAATGAGGCAAATCAATATTTAGATTTTAAGTTTCAAAATTCATAAATCAGGTATTAGTTAATTAATTAAATATATATTTATTAATAAAATATATTAAGGTCACAGTTATAGAATTAATGGTCACAAATTGTTCACAGTTTATTTGCAGATCACAGATTTCCAAATTAATTTGTCACATATTTTTTAATGGTCGCATATAAAAAATTTGTAAGTCACAATTAATTCGTTGATCACAAATATCAAAATTTATAAGTCACACAGTCACAAATTCTTTTACGATCACAGATTATATACTTTTTAGGTCATTGATTGTTAGTCACAGTAAACCAAATAGTTGGTCAGATGTACCAATCACCCCCACCACGAATACTTGGTCACAGGTCAACCAAATAATTGGTCACAAACGCTATCCCACCACTGCCCCCACCGCCCACAACCGCCACACCACCACCACATCACCAACAACTACCTCCATCACCAAAAGAAACGCACAACCAACGCCATCGCCACAACCACTGTCATCACCACTCAGCCACCGTCACTGCCATTGCCCCCAACAACCACCTGCACGACTATCATCCAACAACCACCAACACCACTACCACACCACAACAAGCACCACTATAACACAACCATTTGCAAACAAAACCAGAAAAACCTAAAAAAACAGGAAAACCACAATCTTCCTTCACCACCGATGGCTCGTGTTTTCTAGTTTGGGCTTTAGATCTGACGAATCTAAAGGGGCGACAGAATAGGCGAGGCTCTGATGGAGCCACAACGGTGGTCCTGTGCGAGTGACACTCCGCTGCACATGGCGGTCCTACTACACGCACAACGCCGCTTCTACAGCTGCTTCATCCCACAGTGAACTGAGGGGGTTCCGGTGCCGAATGATGGGTACGGCGTCGGCATAGTTAGGGTTAGGGGTGGGAAAGGTAGAGAGAGTTGACACTGAGGAGAGAAATGGGGATGTGGTTTTCGGCGCAGCACAGAGAGAGACGACAGAAAGAGTGAGGGAAGAAGTGAATTAGGGTTTTAATATTAATATATTTATTAAAATACAAAATTATTACCCGACTTTTGAATAAGTAAACTTTCAACCTGATTTTTGAAAATCAATCTTTAAACACCTGACTTTTTGTAATTTCCCAACAATTAAAACCCCCCCAACCCAAATCCCCATTAGCCCAAGTTCAGAAAAGAAAATTAAAACCCAAATGGAAACAACCAACAAAGTTTTGGCTTGACTTACCATTAATGATTTTGTTCCGGACCAAACTGGGCAGGAAAACACAAACTACTCAGACAAGTTTGGGTTCAATGAGGCAAATTCTTCTTTTTTATTTTTTTCTGTTTTCGAGGGGCGTAAGCTAAGTAGATAAGGGAACCATGATGCCCTGAAAAGCATGTATACAATTCAAAATGTATATATGAAGGAACTTGGTGGGAAGTTCAATTGTAGAATTGAGCCTCTTTACAACTTCAAAGGAATGAAGGCTCATCTCCATGAACCAGAAATATATCTGTGCATTTAGAAAAGGAAATTGTATCGTCAAAATTAAAAAATAAATCGAGTCGTCTGAGACAAAAACCACAAGCAATTAAAACTACTATGTCTATTTATATTTGCTCTAACGGTGTCTCATTTATTTTTTTGTTTTGGCTTTAGTTAAAGAAGATGTTGTGCGAAGATTAGGGTTTTAGTTAAACGTAAATTCTAAAGAATATAGAAGGTTCAAAAGCATTTAACGAGAATAAATATTAGTGAATGAATTTAGACCGATGTATTTTATTTGATTTCATTCTTATCTATTTAAGCAAGTTTACATAAGGTTAAAAATGTAATATAGAAATTTTTTATAAGTGAATAGATATATAAGAATTGTGGATAAAAATAGCGACTCTTTTTATGTAATTAATTGAAGATTTCAATTTGGGAAAAATTCATATATAAAATATACCCTACATATCATTTCAAAAATAAGAAAACAACTTTGAAATTTCTAAAATCAGATATTTTAACATATACATACACACACACACATATATATATATAGTTAACCCACTCCACCTCCACCACCCCTACCGCTCCGGCGACTATTCCGATTCCGATGACCGTTCCGACAACTTCTCCACACGTGACCTGTTAATATTGATTTTTGATTACAACATTTTTATAGGTCACATGGTCACACACTACCAAAATAGTTGGTCACATATTTTTTCACGGTCACAAATTATATAATTTTTAGATCACAGATAACAAAATGCTTGGTCACGGATTATATTTTTAGTCACGGATTATCGAATTTTAAGGTCACAGATTATATTTTTAGTCACAAAAGGTCACACGAACACATATTTTCAAATTATTTGGTCACAAATTTTTTCATGGTAACAGATTATATAATTTTTAGATCACAGATAATGAAATGGTTGGTCACGGATTATATTTTTAGCCACATGCTATCAAATTTTAAGGTTACGGATTATATTTTAGTCACAGAAAATCAAAATGACCAGATCCACTCCCACTGCCTCTTCACTATCGCCACGACCACTACTACCGCCTCCACGACAACCGCCACGACCACTACCACTACCACCGCCTCCACTACCACTTACGCACCCTCACCCCACCACCAATCCACCACCACAACACCACCAACACTACAGGAAACCAAAACCTCCACCACCAATAGAAATGCACAACCATGACCGCTACCACCAACAAAAACGAACCCCTATCGCCTAGCCACCATCACTGTCCATCGCCACCAACAACAAAAAAAGCACCACCACCGTCACTGCCCATCGCCACCAACAACAACTTATCATCGCACCACCACCACCACTAAACAATCACCACAACAAGTACCACTAAAACACAAATCACACCACCTATCTCATAGCATCGATCTCCAGCACCGCCACATAAATCGGAACACATACCACAGATTGACTACCTCCACCATTTGTCGGCACTCTGATCGATATTGTAACCACTTCGTAGTAGTCGCCGCACCGAAGCTTGTCGCAGCCAAGAGAGCGGCGCTCAGATTTCGAAAAATACCGATCGAAACTCCCGTAGCCATAAAAGTTCCGACGCCACATTCAGCATTTAGGCACTCCTTACGCAGTCTCTATACTTTGCCAAAATCCTCAACCTCGTAGAACTGGAGTACGGCTAGCTTTACCTTCTTCTTCTTGTGCTTAATCTTCTTAGGCTTGGTATAGGTCTTCTTCTTACGCTTCTTGGCGCCACCACGGAGATGGAGGACGAGGTGGAGGGTAGATTCCTTCTGGATATTATAGTCGACGAGTGTACGACCATCTTCAAGCTGTTTCCCGACAAATATTAGACGCTGCTGGTCCGGCGGGATGCCCTCCTTGTCCTGGATCTTAGCCTTGACATTGTCAATGTTGTCGCAGGATTCCACCTCTAGGGTTTTTCCCCGTGAGGGTTTTCACGAAGATCTGCATCTTCGCAATTGGGCTGAGAAATTCCAATAATAGGGATTTTGGGTGGCTCACTCTATCTCTGTACAGAGTCACGAGTGGGTAAAGATGGGAAGAGATCGCGACCACCATTTCAGATCTGCCACCTTCTACACTGTCGAGAGAGAGAGATAGGGGGCTGGGGAGTGAGGGAGAGAAGTGAGAGACGGAGGGGGAGAGAAGTGAATTTAGAGTTTAATTTGGTATAAAATTAAAATATAATTTATAATTATAATTATAATCTGTATCTAATTAAAAATATCTGATTTTTAAAAATTAAAACTTGAAATCTGATTTTAGAAAATAAATCTTGAAAGGTAGGGAATTAGATAATTTGCACTTTCAATTTTATTGTGGATTTGGACATAAAAAACCCAAATTTAAGGCGCAAAAGTACAAAACATAAAAATAGTCTCGTTACCTCTTTTATTTGCCAAACCTTAAACCCTCTTAAAATTGTCCTCTCCGACCCTTTTTCTCATTTTTAGATTTATCTAGTTTGAGCTTTATTCTTATATTGAGGATGACATCCTCAATGTTTTCAAAATGTGGTGAGCGGGAAACTAGATTTTTTTAAAAATTGTTCAATAATGTATTGCCACGTGGCATAATATAAAAGAAGAGTAAAAAATGATGTATATGTAGTATGATTGATCTAGTTTTACTAATAATGCCATGCGATTTCAGTTTTTATTTTTGGCTTTTCTTTCTTGAGTTCAGGATATATCTTATATTTTTACTAATGGCCAGTTTTCTTTTCTACAATTTGATATTTTTTTAGAAGGATTTTTATGCAAGAATGTTTCTAATCTTATTGTTTAAATAATTGCACCTTTACTTTAGAAGGTGCAGTCCCTAAAGTTGCAATGACAGACAATGATTGGGAAGAGTTTTTTCGGGATGTGATAATGTTTTTCTCAAAACATGATATTGAGATACCAAACTGGATGGTTTGCATAAGGTTGGTCCTTGTCGTTCTCAAGATCAAATTAATGTGGAGCATTATTCTGACTTTGTTATTTTCATTGAAGCAATAGATTTTTATTGACAAAGTTAAACACACGATTTAATGATATATCGGTAGAACTTCTTTCTCTCAGTGTAGCTTTGGATCTCAGAGATTCATTTTAATCGTTTGAAAGTCATGATATTTGTATGTTTACAGAGAAATTATATCCTGAAAATTTTTCAAAGCAAGATATTCATACTTTGGAACATGAGTTGCGATATTATGAACTAGATATGAGGAGGGAACATCGGTTTCAAGTATCTACACTGTTGAGTTACGCTAGCATCTGATTGAGAGTAGAAGCTGGTTGAAGACTTGGTCCTTGTTTGTTTCTCATTATTTCCAAAATACATTTTTTTTCTCTTTTTTTTAAATCATGTATTCTTCAATAAAATAATATTTCATACATACTCTAAATTTTTTCGTATTTTTTAACCACAATTTCTTTATCAAAATGCTATTTCAAAATGCATTTTGAGAAAAAAAAAAATTGGGGCTCAACATGCTCTTATATTATGGTAACTAGGTTGATTTATTTTGTATTGACTTTACATGTTTCTACTACGATTACTGAGCGAGCATTTATAGCAATAAAACATGTAAAGGTTTTTCATAAAAAAAAAAAAGGAAGGACGACTTTCTTGCATATTGTATGACACTCTGCATCGAATGAGAACTTGTTAATAAGATAGATCTATATTCTATTGTAGATGAATTTTATGTTTCAAAACCTCATCAGGAGCAACTTCAAATTAGATGAAAATGACTTTTAATGTTATATATATGAATTTATTATATTGATTTTCTTAAACATTAACCTATGTGTCTTAAATTCATGAATTCATCGTTGATCATTAGCTCTATCAATATAGGGTTGAGTACAAATAATATAGTGCTAATACAAGTCATACAATATGAGTTGTTTCTACTACATTAAACATTTTTCATTGAATCTCCAAGCACAAATGTTAGGTTACTCTTGGAGGTGACTCCCTTATAGGTTTAAGCACATCTCCTCGATGATTTATTTATTCTATCACGGACTACAATTTGTCTCTCTTAGATAATGATTTGGTACTAACAAAAGGGGCATAGCAATAT